CTCTCTCTCTCTCTCTCTCTCTCTCTCTCTCTCTTTCTCTCTCTCTCTCTCTCTGTTTCTCTCTCTCTTTCTTTTTCTCTCTCTCTCTCTCTTTTTCTCTCTCTCCTCTTTCTCTCTCTCTCCCCCACACAGCTTAGATTTAAACAGTGCAAGCTTGTAGATTTCTTCCTGAAACCACCTAGGCTATTCCACATGAGTCTCGAAAAGTATGCATGTCTTGCCCTTGAGGTTCAGGGTCCCAGAGCCGGCACATGCAGCCCCCCATTCATCTACGTGGTGGACGTCAGTGCCACAGACTCTGTACTAAATATAACCTCTTTGAGTTTTGGTGCACATAAGTAGAGCCGGTGCAGTCTGCTGGCTATCTGCAAACACTCCTTGAGTTTGATCAGATTTGATGTAATATCTTTTTATCTTTTATATCTCAGAAATGTTTAGAGTCGAGGCTAAGAGGATTTTATTGTTTTCTCTTTCATTGGAAAAGTAATGGAGAAATAGCTGAACTTATAGTGAGCATGTCTGAGTGAGACTGAAAGGTTCAACTTTTGACAGATTTGGTCTTTTTTAAGTTGTAATTATTAAGCAAATGGAGAAAAGACGTGCTGAGATTGAGATGCAGGTGTATTCCTGGTGGGAAGAGAGTTATTGAAGAGGAAAAGATTGCTGGAAAGAGCTTGTCTTTTGCTGGCAGATGTATTTTGTAAAGTTTCTTCATGACTTTGTGCATAGATCCTTTTACCAAGCAATATAATAATAATTATAATAATAATAATAATAATACTGGTCGTCCATACCTGGCCCTGTTCACCTCCTCACTCAACTCCTAGTCAACAGACAGACTGACAGCTTGATGAACACACACTGACAGACACATGTACAGACACAAACATGTGGCACAGGGCTGGGGTCAAGCTCACAGAAAGGATGTGCTATGAAAGTCATTTTTTTGTTCCCCCTCCTAGGAGGAGGGGGTCTGGTTTTGCTATAATTTATTGTACTTTGTCAGTTGTGTTTGAGCTTTCGACAGAGGTCTTACCGCTACAAGTTTGTTGTGTGTTGTGAATTGTTCAAGCTAAAATCAGCCCCTAGGGTCAAAAGATTTCTTCTTGAATAGGTTCCACTCAAGAAAAATGAAATATTTATTGGCTGTTGGTGTGCAAGATGTAGTATGGCAGAGCTAGTTATGAGGGAAGGAGCTAGGAACCCCGTACGGTCTTCCACAGTACTGCCTCATGACCCTTGTCTAAATCTAATGTGTAGGAAGATATTCCACACAGGTCAGCGGGACACACAGATAATTGTATCCTTCAGCCTTCTAAGACCAACTAGAGAATTTTGAATGTGTCTTGCAGAATCATGGTTGTATTTGGGTTTTTTTTCTTTTTTTTTTTTTTCTGAAGATGTGTCTATGACTACTATGAGAGAATGAGAAAGACAGTGTGTGTGTGTGTGTGTGGGCGACTGTGCAAGTGAGTGAGCATGTTCTATGTTGTTGACATGTTTGTTTATTTGTTTATTCGTATTCCTGTTCATTTCGCCTTTTGGTCGGTTTGAGATTTGATTGTGTTCTTGCCCACTGTGTTGTGACACTGTTTCAGCTTTCTGCTGAAAACGTTCCATCTGCGGGATTGTCATGTAACATGCATATATGTTATAATATTTTTGCACCCGCAGGTGGGAGGTTTTGAGGCTGGGGGTCTGGGAAAGTAATGTACAGGGAACGACGTCTGTTGCTTTGACACCCACATTGCCCGTTGCATTCTCTCACTTCTCAGAATTATGATGTTTGACATGTATTTTGACCATACAATTATTAAATGCAATATGCAGTTATTTTCATCTTTGAATTGTTCGGTTTCTTTCCGCTCCTCTTGGAGTGGGTTGTCGGTGGGTGCTCTCTTGTGGTTTTCTTCTTTCCTATCAAACATCTATCGTCCTCATCTCTCCTCCTCCATTTTTGTGAATGTTACTCTCTTGTGACACCTGCAATATGACCTAATTGTGTTGCAAGTGCTGTGAAACTTACCAAAATTAAAAGCACTTTGTGGGTGGTTGGCGGGTGCTCTGCTTCTTCTTTCCTATGAAACATCTGTCATCGTTATCTCCCCTTCTTCATTTTTATGTTTGTTACTCTCTTGTAACACCTCTAATCTTCTGGCGCTCATATGACCTTGTGCAGTCGCGAGCGCCGTTAACCTCTTCTTAAACTAAAAAAAGCACTGCATGTGTCGTTCACATATTTCCACATAAAAAGGACATTTCTTTGTGAACTTTACTGAAAAAAGACACAGTGTTAATTTGCAGTTTCCATGAACTTTCAAATTTTGAAGTCACAAAATTTTGGCGGTTAATTTGAACCCACGTGGTTCAATCACAAACTTTTCTACCTCTTTGAAAGATAGATAAGTATTCTTTTCACCAAAAACATGTAAAATAAACTAGCTTTAAGATGATATCAATAACTCCATATTCCCAAAAACTGACGACCACCTGGTGCCACGGCATCACGACACGATGATCTGAACACGGTGGATGTGGAGATAAAACACCAGCACTTTAAAGGAAAGAAAACCCCCACTTAATGTAAGTCTATCCAAAAAAAACAACCCATTTAATGTAAGTCTAAAAAAAAACCCCACTAAATGTAATTCTATCAACAACAAAAACCCACTTAATGTAAATCTATCCAAAAAAAAACCATTTAATGTAAATCTATCCCAAAAAAAACCCATTTAATATAAGTCTATCAAAAAAACAAACCCACTTAATGTAAGTCTATCCAAAGAAAACCCCACTTAATGTAAGTCTATCACAAAAAACCCACTTAATGTAAGTCTATTTTTTTTTAAAACCCACTTAATGTAAGTCTATTTTTTTTTAAACCCAATTAATGTGTCTATTTTAAAAAACCCACTTAATGTAAGTCTATTTTAAAAAAACCACTTAATGTAAGTCTATTTTAAAAAAACCACTTAATGTAAGTCTATCCCAAAAAAACCCACTAATGTAAGTCTATAAAAAAAAAACCACTTAATGTAAGTGTATTAAAAAAACCCACTTAATGTAAGTCTTTCCCAAAAAAAACCCACTTAATGTAAGTTTATTTAAAAAAACCTTAATGTAAGTCTATTTTTTTTTAAACCCACTTTATGTAAGTCTATTTTTTTTTAAACCCAATTAATGTAAGTCTATTTTTAAAAACCCACTTAATGTAAGTCTATAAAAAAAAACACTTAATGTAAGTCTATAAAAAAAACCCACTTAATGTAAGTCTATAAAAAAAAACACTTAATGTAAGTCTATAAAAAAAACCACTTAATGTAAGTCTATAAAAAAAAAAACCCACTTAATGTAAGTCTATCAAAAAACAACCCCCACTTAATGTAAGTCTATCCACAAAAAAAACCCCACTTAATGTAAGTCCATTAAAAAAAACCACTTAATGTAAGTCTATTTTTAAAAAAACCACTTAATGTAAGTCTATAAAAAAAAAATTCCACTTAATGTAAGTCTATCAACAACAAAAAACCACTTAATGTAAGTCTATTTTTTTAAAGAAACCACTTAATGTAAGTCTATTTTTTTTTAAACCCACTTAATGTAAGTCTATTTTAAAAAACCCACTTAATGTAAGTCTATCAACAACAAAAACCCACTTAATGTAAGTCTAAAA